TATGCCACCCAATTTTCCTCTTGTGAGATAATAAAAAACATATATATTAGCCTCTGCCCTTAGTTCCTGGCACAGAACTCCTAAAACCCTTATAATTTCCTAAGTGGTAAGAGCACTAGGAACATCTTTTGTTCTTATATTTGGTCTTTGACCCCAGTTCCTGACACAGAGTTCTTAAATCCCTATGAATTTCCTGGGTGATAGCACTGTCTTTTGTTCTCATGATGTGGGGGCCCAGGCCCAGACCCTAGACTAAGCAAGCTCATTTTGGAGAGTACCCCCGCCCAGAGGAATGAAAGAAACTTCTGCTTCAGCAAAAAATTAACAAAGTATCTTGTCAAGAGAATAGGAAAAGATAAGCTAGGTATGTTTTATAGCTTGTTAGCGAAAGATAAGCTAGGTATGTTGTTAGGAAAAGGTAAATAAGTCCTGATTTATAGTTAGTTAGAAGAAAATAAACTTGCCAAGTTTTATGGCTAGCTAGAAGATAAGTTAACTGTTTGTTAAAATAAATTTTTTTCCTCCTTTTACTCACTAACTGCTTTATTTTTGCTTCTGTATCCAGCTTCAGCTATAAATTCCGCACCCGCCAGGACTTGGCGCCGTTTTTTTCTTTTGAGGGAGACAGGACACCAAGCTTGGTAAATAAAGCCTTTGGAACAAAAGCCCTTTATCTCAGTTTTTGTTAACGAGCCGGCACCCCAACAATGAGGTGACTCTTGGTGGGCTCCTGGATGGGAGCTGCTCACCAGAAAGTTCAAGCCATGATTGGAAGCTTAAGATTTTAGCCCCACCAAGGGGAGAAGGCCTGGAAATGGAGTTAAGGGTCTATCATGCCTACGTGATGAAGCCGCCATAAAAATCTCAAAAGTATGAGGTTCAGAGAGCTTCCAGGTTAGTGAACACATTCATATACTTGGAGGATGACACACCCCGGCTGCACGGGGACGGAAGCTCCTGCACTCCATACCCTCCCAGACCTGGGGACCTAACTCCTTTCAGATTGGCATCTGAAGTGTGTCTAGGGGCAGGGAGCAGTCCTGTGGAACTGAGCCCTTAAACCTATGGGATCTGATGTTATCTCCCGATAGTGTCAGAAATGAGCTCAATTGTAGGACACCCAACTGGTGTGGCAGAATTGCTTGGTGTGGGTAAAAAAACCCCACACATCTGGTGTCAGAAGTGTTGTGAGTGTGTAGTAGTGTGAGAGTAAAGGAGATACACAAGATGAGAACTAAGGTTTTCCTTACACCTCTCAACAAAGGAACTGGATCTAAGACAATTGTCACATGTTCCCCAGTCTCTGCCCCTCTGTGAAGAGGCCCTTTTCACTGAGATTAATGAGAACAGCAAGTTCCTCCCTATATTGACCTAAGGAAAATCTGCTTCCTAATAAATTCTGCTCTTTGATCACTCCTCCTCACAATATCCTTTCAAATATTTACTACCTGTGATCACATTTCCTGCAGGTTGCTTCCCTGGCTGACTGTCTCCAGTTCTCTCAATCATCCCTTACCAGCGGTTCTCAACCTGTGGGTCGCGACTCCTTTGGGGGTCAAACGACCCTTTCACAGGGGTCNCTGACCCCATCTCTCCTAGAATGACCTCATCCCGCCTTTCCAAGTCCACTTCAGTCACAAGGGACTCTAAATCTCATGAGAGGCCTCAGACAGTTCAAGCAGTCTCTCACTTGAGGGTATTTGCGCCTGCTGTCACCTCTGCCTAGAATCCTCTCCCTCCCGTTACTTCATGGCTTCCTTCCTCCAGGTTTCTGCTCAGCCATGACTTTGGGGAGGCCTCCCAGATGTCTGTATATAAAATGGTTCTTCCCTCCCTGGCCCCACCACTCTTTACACCCTTCCCTTGCTTCGCTTTTCTTCACTGTACTCATTACTGCCTGACATATTATGTACCATATTTTGTTGACAGCAAGGTGCATGTTTGTTTTCAGATTTCAATACAACTGAAATACTTTGGAATGTCCTAAAAATTGGTGGTGTCTTAAAACTGCCGCGGGCCTCAACTGACATTGAGTCTTCCCATGGATTTGCATGTGCTTCTGCCAGGGCTCGGGAGTGCTCCCCACTGAGTTGATTTGCAATGAAGTTCTATTGAAGGGTTTTGTTTAAACCACACTGGTAGAGTGAATTTAGACAACAAACTGGCGACTACAAACTTGTGGTTCATACTCTCAGAGGAGATAACCCTCACACAGTGCCAAGGTTGAGATATTCAAGTTTGCTTGCTGGCCTCTGCTGTGTGGAGGGGTTTTTTCCTTGTTTATTTGTTTACACTGCAGGTGTTAAGCTTCTGGTGTCCCTGCTCCATGTGGGGGTCTCTCATGAGACTGCTATCTTGGGCATGTTTTCCTTTCTTGGTGGTACATGAAAGAGCAGTTCGCCTTACAGCTGATGGCAATGTAAGAGCCTATGAAATACGATGTATACTTGTTTTCTTCCTGTTCCACTCACTAGACTAAAAGCTCCATGAACTTGGATTGCTTGTTCATGTGTGGTACCTTCAGTGCCTAGAACAGTGTCAGGTACATAGCAGGCTCTCAACAGAAGTCTGTTGAATGAATAAATAGTAGACACCCACTAAATATTTGTTGAATGAATAAATGAATAAGTTAATTTTTGTCTGGGAACACAAGAATTTGGAACATGAGAATACAACAGTTAACCTGACCATGAGCCTGATCTTACTGGATGTGGCATCTATAATTTAGTCTCTTCTCTGCCTTTGTGCCTACGGCTTTGCACAAATACGGTTTGGCTTATTTAAAAAAACATTTTAAACAGGACATGCAACAGACATAAATTTAATATTCACATTAGCATTTCATGCTCTGAAGAATTAGTGAAGGGTATTTTGGGAAAGATAAATTGCAAATCATTTGATGCCAATGATAAACCACGTAAAGAAAAAACTCGCACTTCTGGTTTATGCTGACCTAGCACAGGGAGGCCATCCCAGAGGGAGGGGACAGTCTGGCCAGCCACCAGCGTCACAAGAAAAGATAGAGAGCTCTGCCGTTTCCATGTCTAATATATACAAAACACAAATGCTAAACTTCAGGCACCACGCTTGCTAGGTTTTTTTCTTCACATGCTAGATTTTTAGAAACAAAACTTTAAAATTAAATCTCCTTTTTTCTAAGAATGTTCTATAGTCCTCACTAAAAAAAAAAAAAATGCACTTATACTGAGGAGGAAAAATCAGTTTTGTGCCAAAACCAATCCCCCCAAATCCTTCACATCAACAGAAAAAGGGTGGTGACAGGAAGATGGGACATTCTTTTCAGGAGATTTGATGAGAATATAAATTGTCTAAAATCATCAAAGCCTTGAGGAGGCTGTGTCTTCGAAAAGGATTTTTATATAGTAACCTAGAAACTCTAAGCATAGAACTCAAAATCCTTCTATTGCTACTTATGAAAATAAGTTTTAGTCAAACAAACCTAAAACTGTGTGATCTTGGGCAAAATATTGAATACACTGTTTGATTTTCCTCATCTTAAAAAGAACAACAGGTCTGGCAGAGTGGCTCAGTTGGTTAAGAGTTGGCTTAAGAGCATGAGCTCTGAGCAGCAGGGCTGCTGGTTCGATTCCCACATGGGCCAGTGACACTGGCAGCCAGATGGCAACTGGCGCCCTCCACAACTAAGATTGAGGAACAACAACTTGGCTGGTCCCCTTCCCCAATTCCCCAATAAAATCTTTAAAAAAACAACAACAGGTGTACTTATTTCACGGGGGTTGTTATAAGGATTAAATGAGATAATACATTTTAACACATGGTATAGTATTGAGCAAATATAGAAATATTTTTTNCCTATAGGTTGTCTCTCCCACTATCAGTGTTCTATAAATAATTACAACTTCCCCTTAGACCAGCCCCAGGATTTGCATTTAAATAGTACATTTGCTGCCGGACGTCTAGCCTGCATGGAAGAGTACAAATGTCACCTGATACTCAAAGCCCTCACTAACCCATAGCAGGAGCATGCAATCTCTCACTTCAAATCACTCACATTAGTGTTCCTCTGTTTCATGCTATTATGCCTTAATTTCCTGCTCCTTCTCTAAGCAATCGGCAGGCACCTCAAGAAGAAATGTACACCGACTGCCAACATGGGAGAGCACATGAGTGAGACAGCGGTCCAGTTCAGAGAGCAGAATTATAGTTGCAAGAAATAAATACATTTTGTAATCTTCCCAGACTATATTCTCCTAATTATGTTTCTGGAGAATAAATCTTTCAATTCTTAACTCCATTACTAAGTGAGGTGAAGCAGACTTCGGCTAACTTGCTTGAATTGGTTATTCCTTTTCCAGACAGCTAAACAAAGGATTTAGCTTGCAATTTATTAACTGGATAGCCTTAGTAAAGTCACTAGCAGCTTTAGCCTCGGTTTTCTCATCTGTAAAATGGGGACATAATGGTACCCATCTCACAGGATTGTTCTCAGGAATAAACCAAGTATTGTGGATAAAATGTTTACTATAAAGCATTATACAAATATAATTATAATGTTTAGCATTGTCTTTATTGATACTAATGCCATTTGTTATTGTAACATATATGTTAATAATGATAGAAACAACCCATTCCTCCATGCTCGGGAGACCACTGCTATCAATATCACTTCTATGGAATCTTTGCCTTAAGTATGGAGTAGGTCTACCACCAGAAAAATGAGACTGAAACAGTCCAGTGGTTAAGGCTCCTCACATTGAGGAGATTTTAGACAACACGTAAACATTCATTCTAACACTTCATTTTTTGAATAGGTGCCTACTGGGTGCTAGTACGGTGATGGGCCATGTGGGTGTTACCCAGACCATTCTCCAAGTAATTAAAAATGAGATGCCCTCGAGAGCAAACAGACTTCTGTGAACCACCCTCAACGGCACTTTCTAATTGCAACCCACCCATTTGTATCTAAATCCTGGTGCCACCAACTCCCTTCCAAAGAGAGAGGAGAATGCACTTCCTACCTCTGCAGGCAGCAATTCCTGGTCCACCAAGGCCTGAGCCTCCAAGGCACCGCGGGCTTTCCGCACATCTTCCGTGGCATCCTCACTCACTGGAGATACCATTTGCGGCCTCTCAGAGGAAGAGAGCATGTCAATTCAAGGACTCATAAAAGGCACAACAGCCCTGGAGAAACTCAGAAATAAAACAGCCTTCAAAGGACACCCCCCACAACCCCTACTGTCACTTTAGCTGACCACTGTCCAGGGCTGAAATGGCCCACAATAAAGTGGTGACAGTGTGTGAAGGCCCACGTACTGACGAAGTCACATCCCAGGCTCCCAGCACCATGGTAAACACACAACTCAGTCATCTGAGATGGACTGCAGGTCTGGTTTTATTCGTCACTGGGATGGGTGCCATTTGTTCCACACAGATTTCTACAAAAACAAGAGTGAGAATCCCAGTTCTGTTCTACACATAAAGCCATGGGCTAGAAGCAAAGGGAGGGAGCCTCACCTAAGCCAGAAATTGACTAGCAAAACAAAGGAAGCACCAACTGATGAGCAAAGCAATCCCTCTGCACAGTTGATTATCCCCCAGCTGTCTTTCAGCACTTCCATTTCACATCTTATCACAGATAACCATATCACACTCAATTCACCAGGTCATAAAAACGGTAATCACTGTCTTGCCTTTTTAAGCACACTAATCTACTATCTCAATGACTTAAAATACAACTATTTGAATAGCTGATTTTAAAGAAACAAGAGAATAATTTGTGCCCTCTTCCATTTCCCTGGGCTTCCAGAGACTAGAAAGTGAGTTAAATGCCAGGGCTATAGTAAGCACAATACCCAAAGTCTCTAGGTAATGTTTCCAACAAAAGGTGGCATGGATTCTTTAGAGCAGCAGTTATCAAAGCATTGTGTGTGTGGGGGGGGCGGGGGGGAGGGAGACACCCAGGTGGTTAGAGCTCAGGTGGTTAGAGCGCAGTGCTCATAACACAAAAGTTGCCAGTTCGATCCCCACATGAGCCACTGAGCTGCACCCTCCACAAATAGATTGAAACAACAACTTGACTTGGAGCTGATGGGTCCTGGAAAAACACACTGCCCCCCCCCCCCCGCCAAAAAAAAGCATTGTCTGGGACCCTTGTGGTCCTTAAAACTCTTCCAGGGGAGTCTGTGAAGTCAGAATTTTTTCATAATAATTCTGAAATATGACTTGCTTTGTTGGTTCATTTCACCTTCTCAGGAGTATGAGAAGATGAAATGGAGTTTTTCCAGAGACTACATGAGGTGACACTGCAACAGAATGAATGCAGAAGCAGATCTGAGAATCCAATTGTGTTTTAAGGCAGACATTAAAAGGATTTAAAGATTTCTCCTCTCACAAAATTATTTTTGCTTTGGAAAATAGTTGTTTTTCATTAAAAACATGTTATTTATATTAACGAGTTTGTTATTGTTCTTTTTAAACGAATCAATACAATTCTTTTCAGTTTTAATTTCTAACATAGTAAACACTGATAGATATAACCCACATAAATAAAAATTCTTTGGGGTCCTCAATAATTTTTGAGAGTGTAAAGGTTTTGA